GGGTCCTCACCAGCATCGTCCGCAGCTTCACGAAGTCGCAGTGGGACGGGTTCTCCACTGCAGGGGAAGCCGGGGTCAGGGGGCCACCGCCAGCCCCCCACATCCCCCTGAGCCCCGCCAGCGTGGAGATGGGGCGCACACAACGTCCCCGTCCCCCCAGGGCTGGTGGGACACGGCCCAGCGTTACCTTCCACGATACCCCAGGGGTAGAGGCGCCCGCGGACGCGCCGGCCTTTGGCTTCCACGACCGTGTTGCTGCCGATGACGGCGAAGGGGATGCTCTCCTGCAGGAGGATGGTGAGGGTTAGCAAGGTTCCTTCCTCTCCACCGTGGCCAGTGTCCTTCCCCACACATTTCCTCAGCCGCATACGGCACCCATTCGCCGAGATATCCCAGAGCCCTTGGCTATGGAGAGCCCCAGCTGGGACACGGGTTTCTCCATCCCAGCCCCGTCCCATCAAGCCACGGGGTCTTGATGACACATCGGGGTAGTGCAATATGTCCCAACCCCACCATGCTGCTGGAGGGCTTATGTGGCCCCAAACAGTCCCAAGGGTCTCCCAGGATGATGGTGGCCTCTCGGCCATGGGGCTCTGCTCCTCCAAAGATGGAGCTGGAGGAGCCAGACTCACCTTCAGCGCCTGGTCCTGCAGCTTGAACTCCTCATCCTCGTCCGAGTCGCACTCGGGGAACTGGTAGATGCGGATGCCGTAGTGGTCGATCTCCTCCCGGATCTGGAGGTAGACAGCCCCACTGAGGGCAGGGCTCTGGCCCTTGGGAATGGGGTGGGAAGTGCCACAGAGACCCGGTGTCCCCAAGGACCCACAAAACCCTGCAGGAACCCCCAGACCAGATGTCATGGACGCCCCCCTGCACCCTTCCAGCCCCAAGCTGAGCACCAGGGAGATGTGTCCTCGGTGGCCACATGGACAACATGGTCCTCTACAGTGCTGTGACCATGGAGGGTGCTCTATGGCAAAACCCAGGCAGGGGATGGAGAGGACCCCAGACCCCAGGGCACCCCCAACCCCAGGGACCCGCTGTGACAGCTCCAGGCTGGGCCAGCCTCCCCGTACCTTGTTCTTCATGTGCTCCACCTCGGCGGGGGTCAGGGTGTCAGCCTTGGCCAGCACTGGCACGATGTTCACCCGCTGGTGCAGGGCTTTCATGAACTCCACGTCCAGGGGACGGAGACTGTGGGGGGAGCCCAGTGAGAGCCGTCCCACCAAGCCCCTTCCCCAGCACCCCTACCCCGGCAGCACGGGCCGGGG